GAACAGTACAAGTCTAAGGACGCCAGTCTGTTAGAGCAACATTTATATTTTTTAGAAATTATCACTTAAACTATACTGATTACCATAGGGACTTCTGCAAGTCCGCTTAAAGCATGCATGTGGTGAAAGACCTGACAATGTCCTTACCAGTTCTCTCTGCGCTGCAAAGAGCCTTGAGTATTGACTGAGCTTTTACAGTTGTACTAACGCAGATTCACGTTAGCAAATAACTAATTGAATTGCCAGACCACAGTACAAGCAAATATGTTTTCTTTCCATTGCAGTAATGGACTGAAGATATCCATTCTACACGTCAGTAACGTACTTCAAGAAAGCGTGTGATAGTATTACAGTGTAGGTGCTTGAAGCCGGGAACCCACGCATTTACATCCTGAATGGAGAACTGAATTACGAAGACTTCAGTGTTTCAACGATGGATTGGTGTTTCTGGCAAAATAACATTCACCCCAGATCACACGGAAAGAATACCACGGATTTAGCCCGCGATGACCTTTTTCTCCAATACCTTATACCTTCCGCGTGGCTTATGTCTGCAGTTCCCGTGAAGAAGATGAAGTGGGTGAAATTTATTTATGTGCAGAGAAAGATTTCTATCGATAAGTAAAACGTAGATATAATCTGTCAATCTTGATTTGGTTTCTCGTTTGTCGTTTTTCTCCATAACAAATGAGGGACACGTGGATTCCTGAATTGCTGGCACATGCCACGGCTTGAACTATTCGCTTAACTGCCACAGGAAGACACGTGTGATGTATTAACTCATTTGAAGGTATAACACACCTTGAAAGAACTTACAAGTGGCTAATGAGGTTTATGGTACTCTGATACCCTTGGTTCAAATACTTCTCACGGGAATAACGATGACGGTGTGTTCGTAACTATTCCTTCCAGCAATATCACGGCTGGGGGACACAGGAAATGGCTTCAGACATCTGGCCTATGAATGGGAATCGAACCTGGACCTTTAGTGTGATGTGCTATCATCTGTATCACTCCGATACCTCAACTGAAATGTTCATGAACGTTTTGAAAATGACGAACTCGTACTGCGTAGAACAGTAAACTTCTACCATTTGGCATTTCAAACGCAGTTCAATTTACTGTTTTGAGCGTAATCCTTTTTGTTTAAACATTTTGAGACTCTTTTTTAATTGTAAAGCGTGTATCAAATACCTTTGTCTGATGTATGAGGAGCTCATAACGTAGACGATATTGAGTAAAATGTAAGCGAATCACGAAACTATAAGATTTGTTGGTTCGTTTCTGGTTTTAGGCCACACTTAGCAATATTCCAGCTATACGGCGGAGGTAAGTAAATAATCGAGTCTGAAGCAGGTAATCCAGTGATCAACAGCATGAGCACCGATCTATGCAACTGGGATACGATGCCATGTGTAAACCAAGTCAGCGAGCCTGACCACCCGATCCCGTTAGTCGCCTCTTACGACAAGGATGTGTTACTGAAGATCAATTCTAACCCGGATCTTCACGGGTCCAAAGCTATAAGAGAAATGCGATTGAGAGACATCTTGCAAACACGTCGACTTCCCGTTATACTGGGTGATATATAACGTTTATATATCACAGCAACTATCAACAGGTTCACATTAAACAGACTCGGTCGAGTATGGGATATTGTGTGTGACAGGTGACAGTGAGTTCTCTTCGTGTATCACCTGATACTTTGCACCTGATGTACAGGTTAGAACCCTGCCTCAAGCCTGTATTCTTCAGAGTGTCAATCGATGGAGTTTTGTTCACGATGTTGCCAGTAGACAGGGCAACCGTCTTGCACAACACTTCTTGTTCTTGGTTTACACATTCTAGACGGGAAATGCCTAGACAAAAGTATTTTCGAGTGCGTAGGATTTGAATCCCTTTTCCGGGAATAGTTTGACGCAACTCAACATTTCTTATCGCACATTGACAAGCAGAATCATGTTTCGATTATTGACCATTATGCACTGAAATTGAAACAGAAGATATTGAGAAAGATATCGTGTTGTAGAGTACATTTATCTATACACACATAGACACTGACATGACATTCTGAACAACATAGCTTTCTATGCAAAATTTAATCATTTTCAAACAATTTATTAAAAATAAGAACTATAATATATCTTGAAAGCGATAGTGATTCAGGGCTAAGAGAGTTCGTTAAGTAAAATATAATTTCGAACGCGGCGACTAATTAATTAGATCGAGTATCAAGATATTGTGGATTTGTTAATTACACGTTAATGAATGCCGACGGTGTATATTGTTGTTAGTAAGGGGTTTGTCTCGTCCAGACTCACACAAACCGCCGTCATCTGGCAAGTAATTTGCTGACTAGATCGTCAAACAACCAAACAAATGCTTGTAAACTGTTGCATATACCATCTGCCTTGGTTTCAGCGGTTCCATCAATTCAGAACATAGTTGATATTTCAAGATGACAAGGGATCATTATATATTCAAATTTCACAGACATGTGTTGCGAAGTCTGGACTATGATTACACCTGAAAGAATTTACTGATGTTTGGCACAGACAGTTGGCACCATAAGGACTATGGTACACGCCAAATATGTAAGTTAGATGAAACAGCCGTTGTAATTGACACCGACATGCTGTCATGTATGTACTGGGGTATTTGAACACAGCATTGCAGTGGATGGTAGAGTGGGTTTATATTTCAGTCAGGTTTCCTTATTTAATCATGATTAAAATTATATTTCACTCGCAAACTATGTGATTTATCGTACATGTATAACGTTTCATGAACGTTATTAAAATAGAACATTGGGAGAGACTGTAAAATGTGGTTGATAACAAATCTTGGAAATATTCCAGGATTGTATAAAAATATATTTATTCAAGTTTGCGAAGTTAATATACTCATGCCAATAATGGTTGTCACCCCCTATCCACCCCCACCCACACACCACACACACACACACCCACACACCCACCCCACACACCCTCTCCAATAAAAGAAATTGAAGGGGGCGACAACCATTATTGGCATGAGTATACAATAATATCCGCACATTTGATATGAATAATATTGCTTGTAACCTGTAATTGTGAAACTAAGCTTACGTGAAACATAATACCACGTACAAGAAACAATACATTAAAATATACATACATGTTTTCATGCCTTGGCTATGCATGTCGATTGTACATGCTGCATCGATTGCACCTCTCACTGAAATTCTATTACGTATTGTTGTAGAGAATATACATCCACATCCACATGCAATATAAATTAACTTGAGATCAGTTTTTGCCATTTTAAATAAGACAAAACGAACTTGGCTGACATCCAAGTTGCTGTTCCACGAACCTCTCCACAGTTCTTGTCTATTGATAACGGACAACCTCCTTGAACCCCGTCTAAACAAACACACTTAATGATCAACAGCTCCAATAAAAGTGTGAATGGTATACCAAGCTATTAGACAACATAATGGGGATGTTCAAACATGTAGCCTATACTGGACAATACAAAGGGCCAAGTCCCATTCCGGTCAGTAAATCCCAGGTCAATAGATCATCTGTAAATACTTGACCGTATACCACTCCAACCTTGACCCAAACCCTCCTTGACATTCCGTTATCCCTTACCACCACAACTGTGACCCAAACCCTCCTTGACATCCATTTATCCACTACCACCCCAACCGTGTCCCAAACCCTCCTGGACATACTGTTATCCGTTACCAGACCCTCCCTGACTTAAACCCTCTTTGACAAACCCACATTCCAGACCACCCACAACCCCGACTCAAACCCTCTGTGACATTCCCTTATACCATATCACCCCGAACCCTGACTCAAATCCTCCTTGACATCCCCTTATCCCATACCACCCCAAATCCTCCTTGACATCCCCTTATCCCATACCACCCCAAACCCTCCTTGATATCCCCTTATCCCAGACCACCTCAACTCTGACCCTAATACCCCTTATCCCAGACCATCCACAACCCTGACCCTAACACCCCTTACCATCCCCTTATCCCAGACCACCCACAACCCTGACCCTAACCCTCCTTGACATCCCCTATTCCCAGACCATCCACCACTCTGACCCTATCCCTTATCCCCTTACCCCAGACCACCCACAACCCTGACCCAACCCTTCGACATCCCCCTTACTCCCAACCCTGACCCTAACACCTTACCATCCCCTTATCCCAGACCACCCCAACTCTGACCCTAACACCCCTTACCATCCCCTTATCCCAGACCACCTCAACCCTGACCTTGATATCCCTTATCCCAGACCATCCACAACCCTGACCTCCTTGATATCCCTTATCCAACCCACAACCCTGACCCTAACCCTCCTTGACATCCCCTTATCCCAGACCACCCACCACTCTGACCCTAACCCTCCTTGATATCCCCTTATCCCAGACCACCACAACCCTGACCCTCCTTGATATCCCCTTATCCTAGACCACCCACAACCCTGACCCAACCCTTCTTGACATCCCCTTATCCCAGACCACCCACCACTCTGACCCTAACCCTCCTTGACATCCCCTTATCCCAGACCACCCACCACTCTGACCCTAACCCTCCTTGATATCCCCTTATCCCAGACCACCCACAACCCTGACCCAACCTTCCTTGACATCCCCTTATCCAGACCACCCACAACCCTGACCCAACCCTCCTTGACATCCCCTTATCCCAGACCACCCACAACCCTCCCTGACATCCCCTTATCCCAGACCACCCACAACCCTGACCCTCCTCGACATCCTGTTATCCCTGACCACTCACAACCCTGACCCAAACCCTATTTGACATCCCACTATCCCATACCAAGCACAAATACCCACCCCTCCATCCCACCAAGGACATTCGACTATAGAGGGGGTTAAACGAATGGGCAATAGAAAACAGGATCTCTATATCGGCCTTATTCTGTCATTCGTCCATGGTTCTAATGCTAACTTACAGGGATATGCATTGTCTCACCTGCCAAGCATTATCCTGACAGATTTGTTGACAGTGGTGCAGCGATTGTTTATGGGAATGTTAGGCCTTGGCTCTGAAAGGAACATAGTGTGTATGTTGGCTATACAATTCTGGATAAGTGTTTACATTTGACCTGCATTTCCATTTATATTTGCCATTGTTTACAGATGGTGAGTACGGCAGCACATTCCTTTAAACCAATGACTGTATTTGATGATAATGTTTAAAAAATAGCTTTACGTAATATATTAAATTCTACTTCGCGATATTGGAATTGATATTAGATATGTAGTTAGGTGGGCCAGGCACCGGAAACGAAAAGGACTTGGAAAGATTTCCTCCCTTCCAGGTAAATGCAATTTTCATGACACTACCTGCGAAAAGGAAGGATTACTTGCAGTTTAAAACTCCTGTCTAATATGATTGTCATGAAATAAAAATTCCGATTGAGAAGAGAATGTTAAGCAAGAGTGGAACCTTCAATAAAACAAATGTGTTGCAATTACTGTTCAGGGTTCTAAGGAGAGTTTGAAAATACAAGATCTTGTCAGAAGTCAGAATGCTGTAGAATTAGTACCAACATGAAAGAACTTAACGGAGGACACCTCTGCTCATAAGCAATACGCCAAATGTCATCCAATTACCTGCTTAGTGCCGGACCAGTGAGCATAAATAACGGTTTCAATGTGGCTGCCATTGAAACCAAACTAGTATACCACAACTCGAAACGGTTTAGCCAAAAATTGTGATATTTTTGGCAACGATCGTGAGAATTGTCAGATGTCGGTAATATGAAATATATGAAATGTATTTTTAGAGAAGTTGTGACCATATTCCACGATGACAAGAAGCGCCAGTGGCCTTAACTATTCCTAAAAAAGATCTAGATCCTGTCAAAAACAGGCCGTTTGATAATGGTGTTCGCATTAGCTCTGCAGCTACAGGAAGAACCAAAACAAAACTGTAAAAGTTTGAATTAAGCTTACAGTGGATGCAAGACGTGCATCGTTACGGGTTTCCCTCCCACTTCGAGCAGACACGCCGTGATATAACTGAACTGTTTGGCCTAGCGGTTACTCCTTCACACCATTAAAGAAGAAAGGCCATGAAATAGACCAGCCTGTAAAGGTTTGGTTGTGATATTTGCTTCATACCTTACAACCTCAGCACACGTGTAAGTTCATAGCTGCCAAGAGACGAATTATCTCAATATTATACACATGCAACTACATATACATACCCGTCGAGAAGCAATGACCTTAACATCTCTGAACACGTTCAAATGCATGAGCAGAGGGGTGAATGATCTTAACATCACTGCACACATGCTACTACGTAAGCCAAAAGGTGAATGATCTTATCACCACTACACACATGCAACTACCTGTATGCACAAGTAGTAATGTGAATGATCGTTCACCACTGCATACAAACACCTGCCAGAGCTGAAAGGTGAATGATCTTAACACCAGTGCAGACAAACAGCTGCCAGAGCCAAAAAGAAGAATGATCTTAACATCAGTCCTGACAAACAAGTGCCTGAGCCAAAAGGTGACTGCAGACAAACAACTGCCTGAACCAAAAGGTGAATGATCTTAACACCACTGCACACAAACAACTGCCTGAGCCAAAAGGTGACTGCAGACAAACAACTGCCTGAGCCAAAAGGTGAAATATTTTAACACCACTTCACACAAACAACTGCCTGAGCCAAAAGGTAAATGATCTTAACACCACTTCACACAAACAACTGCCTGAGCCTAAAGGAGAATGATCTTAACATCAGTGCACACAAAGAACTGCCAGACCCAAAATTTGAATGATCTTAACACCACTGCACACAAACAACTGCCTGAGCCAAAAGATGAATGATCTTAACACCACTGCAGACAAACAACTGCCTGAGCCAAAAGGTGAATGATCTTTACATCAGTGCACACAAACAACTGTCTGAGCCAAAAGGTGGATGATTTTAACACCACCGCACACAAACAACTGTCTGAGCTAAAAGGTGAATGATCTTCACACCACTGCAGCCAGGCAACTACATGTATGCAGCAGTGGAACGGTGAATACTCTTGGCATCACTGCACACATGCAATTACATGCATGCACCAGCGAATTATCTTCACATCACAGTATCATTGCAAACGTAAAACTCAAAAGATGAAACAGCGCCAGTGATTTAGTGAAAACTGTAAAGCCTTTACGTCCACAAGTAAGGCTTTCTGGGATACATGTATAAGTAAGAGGACCAGAGTTCACGCCTTAAGAAAGAGGATATTAAAACCCACATCAACCATATCAATTCCCTGGGAAGGTTTGTTATTCTCAGTATTAGGACCTCCCAACATGTTCGTTTCTTACAAAACATATAAATGTTCATATCATGATAAGTGATACAAGTAAATCAACACCCAAGAATTTAGATAATCAACATATAGCCAGTCTCGTATACAATCGTTTCTCCTTTGATCTTTTTCTGTGGAATACGCCACATACAGTTGCAGGGTACACCTGCCAAGGTGTATTCAGATGCTCCAAGGGAACTGTATACACAATGACAGATATTGTATTGCAAAACAGTATGCACAGAAACCATAAAACATATTTTTTAAAATTAAAATTGAGGTCTGACACAAAAAATGCTTTGAAGTTATTTATGGGGGAATTTTATACAGCTTTCTTTTGGGAAAGTAAGGGAAGAGCGTAAGACGTATTACGTTGCTGTCATGCGCTTAAAGTGAATATCGTGACTCCACACATTTCAACACATCTTTCCGAGACGGTCACCATGACAACCATAAAGGATTAATCCCTTCAAAATCTTAAGGTGGGAATATTTGCTAAATATAAATATTATGGGGACATATTCGATACCACTTTACAACCTTGCGTAAGCTGCACGTATTTCCATCAGAACAACGCCGATGTTGTCAATTATCTAAGAAGAGGCTCATTTATGGTAATCCCTAAAAACACACGCAGATTGACCGGGAAATGGATTACGAATTTGGCACAAGTGGTGTCTATTCATGCGAAATATGTTTGATGAATTATGGTGGTTTTTATCAATATTTGGTTTGTCAAACATAAACGGAAAACCATAAGAATGCTTCGACAAAAGAACAAGGAAGTAATTTAATGGACTTAAACAGGAACATGGTCGTAAGCCCTTCTGTGATCTCATTGAATTCAAACAATAACCCCTTAGCCATTTTACTTTAAGGTGCTGCAGAATGAAGGCAAAGATGGTTTCCTCTGTGTTGTTTTGAAAGATTGCATGTTTGTTTGTTTGTTTGTTTGTAATACTCCGGTCTGTACATGGCTACGGTTTGTAAATATTCGGGTCTGAACCAGACAGTCAAGTGATCAACAGCATGAGAGTCATGTGATATGCATCTTACGACAAGCATGGGTTGCTAAAAGACCGATTCTTACCCGGATTTGAAAGAATCAAGGTGGGTGACGAAGTATTTAATCATTAATAAATAATAGAAGTAGTTTATGAATATGGAATAACGAGAATCGTCTTAAACCAAGAACATAAAACAATCACTACAGACAAACATACGTGTGTGATATAATTTGTTCACTAACAGAGGCAAGATTCAGGCTGGGAACAGTGAGTGAGTGAGTTTAGTTTTACGCGACACTCAGCAATATTCCAGCTATATGGCGGTGATCAACAACATGAGCATCGATGTACGCAATTGGGATACGGTGACATGTGTCAACCAAGTCAGCGAGCCTGAGCACCCAAATCGGAATCGATCCAGTATTTCCGGTGTTACAAGCGAACTCTTTCACCACTAGACCAGCTGGCAGCACTACCAAGGGTTAGTTTATTGCACACATTTATCATTCTATTCAGGTGCAGTGGGTTGCCTAGTGGCTAAAGCATTCGCTCGTCACACCGAAGACCCGGGTTCGATTCCCAATATGGGTACAATTTTTTAACCCATTTCTGGTGTTCCCCGCAGTGATATTGCTAGAATATTGCTAAAAGCGGCGTAAAACCTTACTCAGTTTATCGGGGGAAAGAGTGGGCTAGTCGCCTAATTCGTCCACGACAAACATTATCCAAACACTAATGACAGATGCAGTACACCCATAGGGAATCGAACCCGTTTTGTTGCGCGGACCCGTTCAACCACTAGTATGTCCAACAGCCCTACAGGGGCGGTGGGGTAGCCTAATGGTTAAAGCGTTGGCTCGTCACACCGAAGATCCGGGTTCGAATCCCCACATGGGTACAATGTGTGAAGCCTATTTCTGGTGTCCCCCCGCCGTGATGTTGCTGGAATATTGCTAAAAGCGGCGTAAAACCAAACTCAGTCAGTCATTCAGTCCAACAGCCCTACAAAGCTTCTTACATGTGTTTGCCATTCTATTTAGAGTCTAACAGGACTCGAACCTAGGCTCATAAACCTTTACTTAAGAGACAACATCCACTAGAAACCTATCAAATATATTACAAATATAAACAAATCAATCATTGTCATGTTATGGCTATGCATTGTTTACTTTTGAATGGGTAAGTGTTTGTTCTCTGACAATGAAGGAACAGCTATCCGTGTCGGAGCGTCCTAGATGTCTTAACTGTGTCTTACGCCTATGAAGGTCGTCACACAACCAGCTCTATAGGTCATAAATCTTATGTACGCCATATTTATTCCTTCCCCGCAGCTGTTTGGAACCACTGTTATTGTATTTTGATACCGTTTAATCTTGTTTTTCCGCGGAAAGCCAGATTTATGGATTCAATATTGTAAAATACGCCCTGCCTCTAAAGAAACATTGTCTTTAAGCTTTAAACCACGACAAAGGTATTTCATTTCCTTCATTTCAAACTAAATCAATCAATATGTATATACACAAAGTCACTTCTACAAACTAATGCTGTCCTTTTATTAACTGTTATTTAAGGAGAGGAATAAGAGAGAACAAAAGAATAAGATAGTCGGTGTCTCAACACACATAAGAAAGAGAGAGAGAGAGAGAGAGAGAGAGAGAGAGAGAGAGAGAGAGAGAGAGAGAGACAGAGAGAGAGAGAGAGAGAGACAGAGAGAG